TATTAGTTAAGAACATGGGAATTGGTGACAACCAGGATTTTAGTCTAATCTCTGCTACTTCCCAACTAGGTGGTCTTTAAAATCTCTCAGTTTCACAATTATCATCTGAAAGATGGATATAATAACCTCAATTTCATAGACTTGTTACTAGGATTAAATGATTATATATATAAACACACACATACACATTACATATATGTTTATTTATATTAGCAGTATGTGAATTACAGTAAGGGTTCAACTAAAGTTTCATTTATATAGTCAGCAAGTTTATTTTATAAAAGTGGGATTATACTATAAGTAAAGAAATCAGGTACAAAGGACCACATATTGTATGACTCCATTTACATGGAATGTGTGGAGAAGGGAAACATATAGCTGTGAAAAGTAGTTCGGTGGTTTTGCTTGCGATTAGGGATTATACTATAAGTAAAGAAATCAGGTACAAGGACCACATATTGTATGATTCCATTTACATGGAATGTGTAGAGAAGGGAAACATAGCTGTGAAAAGTAGTTCGGTGATTTTGCTTGCGATTGGAGGTAGGAATGGGGAGTAACTGCAAATGAGCACCAGGGACCTTTTGGGGAGAATGGAAATGATCTAAAAATTTAATTACGATGATGCTTGCACAACTCTGTATTTACTAAAAATCATAGACTTGTACTCTTAAGACAGGTGCATTTTGTAAATTACATGTCAGTAAAGCTGTGGAATGGCAGAGATGCTGTTCATGGATACTTAGGATTAATCACTATGCTTTAATTATGTTCAATTTGTAACAATGAAATTGGGGGTCACCACAACATGAGGAACTGTATTAAAGAGTCACGGCATTAGGAAGGTTGAGAACCACTGATAGACAGTGTCACCAGCAGCTGTCACTCTGGTAGGGGTTCTGGGAGCTACGGGAAGTTGTGCTGAAAGATGCTGCATCTGCCCCCCTTGGGCCATCTCCCTTCAGTGGCCTTGACTTGATCGGTTGGGAAGGAGCCAACCTTGTGGGGTGATACGTGTGGCCTCTTTGCACCAATCTGTAACCTATTTGACAAGCTGCAAGCACACTGTATTATCTGCTTCCACCATCACAGAAATTGTTAAGAAAACAAGATGTTACCTAAGTCACGCTGAATTAAACTAGAAGACTAGTACAGATTGCAGTGGAAAGATAAGGTTAACATTCTGAGATATCTAGAGGGAGGGAATATAAGCACTTGGCGATGATATCTTCATTTCTGTTTCAGAAACACAGGATTCCCTTGGTGAGTTTTTCAAAATCTTAAACCCATTGCTGAGGCTCCCTTTACCCCTCATCCTGATGACTACAATTGCTCTGTACTTCCTCCCTCCCGTATTTTAACCACTCTGCTCTATTCTGTCCACGTCCTCTGAGAGCACAGCGCTGTGACTCCCAAAGGCCTGGGTCAAGTACAGAGTTTTCATTGTGCCCGTCAAATATCACCCCTCCCATGCGTCACCAAGTGTTACTCCCATCTCCCTGGAGTATTTGGTGACTCTTCTCAGGCTCTGTGCTTTCCCACCTCGCGGCTTTGCTCCCTTTTGTGGGAGAACTCGCAATGTCCACCTGTTGAAACTGTAGTTTGTTGCAAAGCCCAGTTCAGACGCCCCATGCCTGTGTGAAGTCTTCCGTGGTTCCCAAACCGATGGCGAGCTTTCACCATTCTTTACCATTGCCCTTCCCTTGTATCATCTGCCATGGTTGTGTTCTGTTTTGGTGGTTTGCATACCTGGCTGAACTTCCTAGTTTGTAAATTCTGTGAGGACAGGATTGGTTCTTACCCATCTTTGGCACCTTGCACGTGGTTGAGGCCCAGAATATAACTTTTGGATCGAATGAGTTGTCTAACTCAATGGCCACTCAGATTTTCTTCCTGGAAAGAAACTTTCAGCAACTTGACACTCTAAACATTTTTCTCTGTGTAAGTGCCTAGCACTGGACATTGAAAAATTTCAACTTCCTGCCATTGTGTCCCTCACCTTGGGCTTTTGACACAGTTTTTTCCGGCCTGGGTTGTGCATTTGCAGTTTGAGAGCTATGCCTGTGAATAATGAGTCAATTATCATCCGGCCTCAGGGAAAGCGCGATTACTCCCCACTAGCCAGGCTGAAGTAATCCTCTCCTCCCTGTGCCCTTTCAATGCAGAACATAAAACAGGTGGAATTCAGAGCACTGCAGAGGGAATTTAGACAAAACATCGGTCTGCTGAATTTAGCTTCTTTGGATTCATTCTGATTTATGATTGATTGGTTTTTAAATTGCTTATTTAATCCTAACGACTGTCGCTCCAGGGGAGGCCAGATACCACGTAGCATGTGATCAGGAAGCAGTTGAGCGAAGTAGTTTGGCTGGACAAATGAGGAGCCGATATTATTGTCCAGAGAAACATTGCTCTAGGCTAGGAGTATAATGTGAAAATCACCCCATGGCTTTCAAAGTACCCAACCTTGTTATAAGCATGATTGCTTATCCCCTATTCTCTTTGCAGAAGGCCTTTTGCAGCTGCTCAGAGTTGCCGAGAAATATCCCCCATGAATTTTTCGTTCCTTCTAGCAACATATTCAGTATCTGTTTGCGGCCGAGAACCTGCTCTTGATTTATATTGCTCTTGACCATGGTGCAGAAGAACAGAGCCTCAGCCGTGCTGACAGGACCTGGCTGTGAATACGGATGAGGTTGGTGTAGATCTGTGAAAACTCTCCTGCCAGGGTGGCAACGCTTCTCAGCGCGTGGACACTGGTTTGGCTCTTGTACAGAGGAATCTGAGTTTTTACAGAGTTTCTTTCAAAATAGACTTCTCTGAAAGTGATCACTTTCATCTGAAACCATATAATCTCTGTATGATTAGTATTACTTTATCAAGGCATCAGTAGTTTCAATCTTTTCAAGGAGCAGAACCTTTTACGTTGGCCTGAAATTAGACATTGTAGGTACAGCTGGTGTGGCCTAATAAGGCAGATCTGTTAGAAGTTTGCATACTTGGTATGTAATAATTTTTTTTAATTCCATTGCTTCAGAATAACAAAACCTTTAAGAAACCTTTGTTTCATTTGTATTGAAGTTTTGACTCAGAAATGCCCAAAGAGCCTGGCTGGTGTGGCTCAGTGGTTGAACCTTTACCTATGACAGGAGGCCACTGTTCGATTCCTGATCAAGGCACATGCCTGGGTTTTGGGATCTATCCCCAGTGTGTGTCGGGTGGAGAGGGGATGTGGTATTCAGAAGGCAGCTGATCAATGATTCTCATCATTGATGTTTCTATCACTGTCTCCTCCCTTCCTCTCTGATAGCAATAAAAATATATTTTTTTGTAAAAGGAAATGCCAAAGAGATGCTTCGATAAAAGCCTTGGAAGAATCACTTCTGGGTCTTTGGAGTGATATGGTATGTATTCATGTGAGGAGTAGGAAGGAGCCTTAAACTGTAGGAGCAGTTGGAGAGAGAACAAGTTCTTTCCTGAAACTTCTTCTTGCTGACCTAAGAACATCCAAACCTGTAGAGAATTTTTCTAAGAATTTATCTGAGCCAAACTTACTATTGCCAGGAAGCAAGATCTCAAATGCTCAGGAGAATAGGAGAAGAGCAGTTTGCAGGTTTCTTGTTTGCACTTGCTATTGGGGAACTTAAAGGAAGATTAAGTGAAGGTGCGAGAAAGCAAGGCAGGGAAAGGATCCCAGGAGAGTTAAGATTCTGTGTTCTGTTGGGTTATGTCTTCCAGGGGTATTACTTCTGGCATTTCAAAGGTGTGTTGATCTAGATGCACAAGAACAATGGGCAGGGCCGGCTTACACACCTTTCTGAAGAAGTTGTAGGCATGGGCATGACTACCCACCATGGTCTGCCCAGTTAGGAATTTGTAATTTATTTCAGCACCCTTAATAATATTTTAAAAATGAAAGTTTTATGTTTCCAAAATGAAGAAATTTTAAAAGCGTGAACAAGAAATTTTATTAGATCCGAGTCCCTACCAGCATTTCAACATCAGCATCAGAAGTGGGGACTTCATTGTATTTTGCTCTTTCTTTCAAAGGAGTTTCATCTGTCAAATACCCTGGTTATTTTATTGGAAATGGCAGTGCCTTGTGTGATATGAAAACAAATAGAACGTGTCCTTATGGACTATCTGTTTCACTAAATGCCTTCCAAGTATTTAAGTCATTAGACTGTTACAATAGTGTGCTGGGTACACAGTATTTTCTTAGTAAATACTAGATTTAGTCTGTTCAAGCCTTAAAGGATAAGCAGGGAGAACTGAAGTAATTCCACCTCGTATTAGAACAGTGCACAGAAGAATGGCAGGTGGCCACAGGAAGCCCTCATTCTAACTTTGAGGAACCATTTCATTTCTCAGAGAACTTCTCCTGTTTCAAAGCATTTTTAGGACTATCTTGCTCTACCCTGCTACTATACTGCTTATCTCTGCCCTAGGACTGATTTAGGACATCTTTGTGGCTGTAAAAGAGGAAGACCTCAGGGGGATAAGTCCTAAGACTATTCCTTCCTCACTTACCTGATCTTTCACAGTGTTGGTTACTGCAGCAATATTCTGAGCAACTCTCCCATTACCCTACTCACTCAGCGCCCCCAGCCCCTGTACCCCAGCAGTCCAAGCTAGTGCTTCACATTAGAGTTGCTGATGGGATGTTGAGGCCAAAGGCAGGGGTCACCTGTCCCAGGAGTAGCTTGTTAGGAGCCATGGATGTTGGTGGAGGAGGCAGTAGGGAGAGCTGGCCTCTGCGTGTGTCATTTACTAATATGACCCTTTTACAGAGAAAGTGCTAAATTCAATCAATATTTGTGTTTTGCCTCTCTGGCTGATTGAGTTAATAATTATACACCAGGTTATCTGACCTCTGCTCCCCAATAGTATCTCAGCATTAATGTCCTTTAGACATCCCTACAGGTTTTAATTCTACTAGTGATGGGTATTCAGAAGCAAACAAAGGATCCTGACTGGACTAGCACCAGGCTATGATCATTAGAACAACAAGAATCTCACCTATTTTCATGCCATGCAACTAACAGCTCAAGAGCAAGCATGGTCACTTCACTGGGTTAGGCTCTCTCATAACCCCTCCAGTTACATACCTGCCTAAGGAGCTCACAGAAGAAACAGTCCCCGTGTCTCATGGTAGAGTATTGTAAGGGGATGAAACCTTACTCTACCACCCTCACAGCATCTTGATTTCTGCCACCTGGTCTCTTTGGACCCTTTTATCACTTGTCTAGTGATCACTGATGTGGAGTCCTGTATTTGCTACTACGGTTGCAGCAAATGAGTTCTATTTTGGAATGTACCATGCACCTTTGGTTCTTGTTGTACTATTGTAAACTTTTCTTCCTTGTCTTCTTTTTGGAATTTTTTTCTTTTCTCATGTCATTCTTCTCTTTTCTAAGGACCCGTTCCCTTCCTTTGTGGTATGATTCTTAGTGGCATAGACAGTGGTTAGGAGCATGGGTTCTTAGTCAGAAGGTCTGGATTCAAATCCCCACTCTGCTGTTTACCAGCTGTGTTATCTCGAAAAAAATGCAAAGGTAAAAATATGAGAAAAATACCACTGAAAAAATGTTGTTGCAGCTTTTCTGTCTTACTAGGAGTACTTTTCAAATTTTTATGTTAACTTACAAATGTGCTAAAATCCTCCATATATTGCTGCCATATAAGAAAAAATCCCCCTCAAATTTAGGAAAAAAAATGAGATAGGTAATGCCAAGGAGACTTGGAAGTACTATACTTTAACAACCTTTTAACAGTGACTTAGAACAATGTTGGGTACATAATAAGCACATAACATATATTTTTGTGTAGTCAATGAAATAGTGTTATCTTTTTT